CAAGAGAAAGCCCAAAAGGTATCGAATTCTGAGCAGAAGCGGGATTCGACGGCCGAACAGCATGCGATAGTCGGGGCTAACTTGAAACACCGCATTCAGTTGACCAGACAAAAATGATTGGTTAACAGTCGGCCTTGGAATCCGAAATACATGCGTAGTGTCTGACGGATAGATAGGTTTTGCGTGCACATTTGCAAGTCCTATATGTTACTTCGAATTGGTGCGCACAGCGTTTCTCTGACTCCGTTCTACACTATATGTGCAGATTTATTTTATTACCCTATCTCATATCAACTGCTCGTCATTTTAGTTTGTCTAAATGCGCTATAAGAGGACGCGGGCTCAAAAAACCACGCAACTGACCAGTGAACAGAAAACAGGCGTGTGAATGAGTCCTTCTCTAAAGATTTCCCATCGTCGCCCTCAATGTTATCTTTCTCCGGATTTGAAATGCACCGACATTTGGTGCCAACCAAAAAACCTCGTTAACTGTTCGCGCAGTCGATGGAGGGCAATGAAGGCTGTGGTTTGATGCACAAACGCGAGATACAACAAACGTAAAATTACGCCCAAAACTGCCACTTACAGTTAGACAATTTTTCTCACGCTAAGCTAAACACATTTCTTGACTAACCCGCTGTCTTCCATACTGTTGCGCGTTGCCTCCTTGAGAAAATATACGAATGCAGCTCTCCGGACGCGATTGTTTCCTGGGTTGCAGGTTATATTGTGTCTCTAGGTCAGCTTGGCCAATCTGGAAATTGCAAATCTACTTTCCGCCCTAATGGCTGTAGAGTGCCACAAGGCACCATTTTACCTGCTCGCCTCTTTACGCTGTAATCAGAAAACCCCGATATACTTTAATGAACGATAATTTCCGTGGACTTGAGCTTCATCAGTCCATTTCAACGCCCAGTGATCTGTCGACGATCGCAGTGAGCTCTTATATTCTCGTTATTTTCTAGTCACTTGGTCAGTCGCATCTCACAGCGCTACCTGCAGCTCAGTATTCAGCACATTTCAGTGATATGTAAGGGAGATAGGCAGAGCCTTTGAAAACCCTGCTTACGGACATAGACAGGAAAAAGACGTGCACGTGTTAACGTATATATATATATATATATATATATATATATATATATATATATATATATATATATATGATGTTAGGGGGCGCTCACCGATCGTTCATACGGAACTCACTCGTTCCGTTGTGCCTTACGGACTCTCTCTCCAGCCCAACCAGCAGCCGCACAGCGGCGCATGATATATATATATATATATATATATATATATGGAAGAAGGTAAAGAGATCTCTGGGGAGGATGATTTATTCATCTGACGTTTCACACTCATACTTGAGCGCATCATCGGAGATAGATTAAAAGTGGGAATACAAGGTTTAAATAGGTCTTTCTTACTCATTA